AAATGGAACGGGTCATTGAATTAATTGGATAAAGTTATTTCTGACGAACGTTATTTATCATCATTAACGTTCCACTACTGTCATGAAGGGTTTAACCATGACATTTTCCTTTAGCGCGAGGTACTGGTACTAAATATAAACAAATGTACAATAGTATAAACTGTAGCAGTAACGCTCTTTGTGAAAAAGTTCGTTGAGTGAGGTATTGCTGTCTTACCTATTACTGTCGTCGAGCAGTAATGTGAACATTACTGCGTTCCGGTTTTGAAGGGTAAGGGGCTGGTGAAATTAGAGGCACATGGGACTTGCCAACTTATGTCTTAAAGTATTGGGCACAGTAGCAGTGTCACTCAGATCATTATTTTCATTTTCTTTTAACTTATTGGAAGACCAACGGCCATCTTACAGAATGAAAACTTAAATCATAATGGAGAGCCAATTGTAGGTTCGCAACGATAGACACACAATAAATTGATTAACGAGTATTAACCGCTCACGCGATGCGCTCCTCCTACCGCAAAATGGCGGCTATTTGGTTTCGCAAATTAGAAAAGGATTCAGTTTAAATACAAGTTTTTATAAATAAAAATTATTATTCTGCATTGCTAAATAAATACCCTCCGTACTACCAACAAAAACATCTCAAATAAAATAGAGTAATACACCGCAAATCCTGCACTTAAAAAGCACTAGTGAATTTTTGGTGTACTTGGGTAAATATGATAATATTCCGTTTGAGTGGTTGTAACGTTTACCATGAAATTACTCCTTAAAGTATAGTTTATAAACATTTATATTCAGGGTAAACTTAAAAAACGCTACTTACGGTATGTTTTCAATAAATAAACACCGAAATCACCAGCCCAAACAATAACACACACGATTGTCGTGACGTATTTTTGAAGTTGTTTATTTTTTTTAAATGACAGACCCAGGCATTAAAAACTTTACGGTTTGCTAGAGTAGCTACCGAAATAGCAATTAATATTAGTTCTTTTACCTGTTATAACTACGATATCCGATAAATCGGTATAAAGTCATCACCGGCACCTCAAGGTGTGGTATGCGTCGACGGCTGCACGTATCGCGTGAGCGGTTAAATTGTAATTAGTAGCGGTAGTAATATAGGTAATGACATTTTGGCAACACTTACTAGTGTTACTAATTACCTACTCTCCAAAAAAACAAACTATTAATAAGACGCTTTACCGATGCAACACTACTGTTAAAAAGGTCTATATCAATATCATATTTGAGATAAAGCTCTGATTAGCACTGGAAATGCTATAGATAGACGTGTCCCTTACCACCGGGCGCACGACTTAATTGTCCCGTCACTTGGTGTAAAATAATCTCAGTACAGAGTACTAAAAAAAACGACCTCAAAAGTACGTGGAATTACGTCTATTTGCCAAGTTTTATTGAAATATCCCCTGGTTCGCCACTATACAGGACTAGAGACAGGAGATAATAAAAATCGATAGTTAGAAAAACGCCTTGAATTGATGAAAACAGGCACCCTTAGAGGTGGATGATTTTCTTCAAAATTAATTGGGACCATTATGGAGGTACCCTCATTCCAACAAAAAAAAATCATGAAAGAAGGTTCACAAATACCGGAGTTATCGCGTAACATACATACACAAAAGACATACAGTCGAATTGAGAACCTCCTCCTTTTTTTGAAGGCGGTTAAAAATGTACATGTCACCACGGAGATCAAACCGTCGACTTCTAAATGAGAAGCAGCCGTTCTTCTACTGGGCTACCGCCGTTCACTAATGTTAAGTCAATGCTTACTAAGTTAGTAAGTTGAAGAGGATTGTGAAACAATTGGGCGCCATAACATAACTAAAACTATGTAACTACATAATGTATGTGTAATGAAAATAACTATTGTCATTACATATACATTATGTATTTTCATATAATAAACCAGATGCTATAT